TTCTGTTGTAGACTGAACTACACAGTTGTGCTAGATAGATATTTAACTAATGCATACATCATAAAATTGTAAATACATACATTGTTATTGATTTACTTTTGTCATAATCTTGTTTATAATCAATAAGGATTAAACATTGTCTTATAAATCATCAAACAATAAATTATGATACTTAGTACTTTTAAATTACCTCAAAATTTATTTCAACTCTTCTCAATGCAATTTTCTTACATTTAACATGAATCTGCTCATCTTGGCCATAGCTTGAGCAATATCATGTCTTATGCATATCATAAAATACATAAGATTGCCCACGACTTTGTCATAGTAAATTGATGACATCTTTTCTTTTTCAATGACATCGACTAGACATTGAATTGCAAAGGGTTAAAAAAATGTGTTGCAAAAAACTTTCATACTCCTTTAGAATATGTCATATTAATAATTTCAAGGACAAGTTGAACACACTTGCCTAATCAAAAAAAAAATTAAATCAAATATCTACAAATATATATCCATAATACTATCTAGATTTATCCAGATCTTCCCATTTAAATATATAGACTTTGGTTGTAACTTGCATCGTGGATTGGTTTTTTGCCAAGATGAGCATATCATCCACGCACAATACTTGAATAATAAAATTGAAGATCTCATTATTCAACTTCTTATTCATGGGTACACAAGAATTACAAATATTATGTGAAAAATTATGTGCTTTATCAACACATCAAATGTTGCATTCAACTATCTAAGAGGTTTTCTTCAATTATATAATGATATAAAGCAATGTACAAACCAATTTCACTTGACCTTTCTCCTCAAAGCCAACTGATTGTATCATGTAATGTTTGTACTTTGAAGATTGATTGAAAATTGCAATACTTACATCAATGTGATTCATAACCACATTAAATATTGCATAGTGTGCACATATTAGACAAATTGTATCATACTTTGCTAGAGCCAAAAAACTTTGTTGTAGTCCATATCTTTTCCTTGTGTGAAACTTTTAACCATCAACTTGGCTTTGAAAATTTTATTCTTGTCATCAAATGGATTTTACTTCAGCTTATACTCCCATTTGCAATTAATCAAAGCTTGATTTATTTATAGATCCATTAGATTTCAGATCTTGTTAAGAAGCAAGAAACTATAAACAATAAAAAAATGTTTGTTTGTTTGATTTTCTTGCTTTATAGTAGCATAATTTTCAATCTTAGTGATAGAAGCATAAGCATCACTATAAGAAAAAAAATTTCCTTTTTTTTTAAATCAATGCAATGTCTTCATCATTTTTTTATCAATATCATGATCTTCAAAAATGGTATAATAGATCTATAATCTACATCTTGGATGAGCTCTACTAATCAGATATAATGATCTTTTTGTGAACAACTGTGGTTGATCTCTATTGTCTAGTGCAAATATTTAAGGTTCATCAACAATAACATATGGTTCAAATACTTCAAGTTTATCAACGACAAACTATTGCTTTAATTCTCTATTGCTCTAATTCTTATGTTCAAGAATTTGCTCCTTCTTTATCAGAGTCTATCCTTGTGTCACATCATTAGTTACTTATTGATTAATCATACTATGATGCTTGCCTATAATACAATATTTGCATAATTTGGAATTAATTTTATCTATTACACATCACATTGTTTTAAGGAGAGATAAATATATATTACTCACATGGCCTAGCCTAGATTGTCACACATGAGACATCTAAGCTTGTGAGTCAGTAAATTTAACTTCATCATATATGGTAACGACCTCTAACAGATAAAAAGTGTTGTGCTTATGAGTTCTAAACATATTCTTATTACGTACTCTTATCCCCAACACTCTCTTTTCTTAGACCTTCACTCAAGGTCTTTTGAGTCAAACATTACAAAAAATATCAAAAAAAAATTTACATATCAAGTTTAAACCTATTACAAATCAATGTATCTTGGATTTTATTAAACATTTGATTTTTAACAAATACAATACTCTCAATGTCAAACAATGAATTTAAAAGATAAAAGAAGTCATGTGATCAACATCACGTCTTTCATAAGAATCTTTGTAGGTGGAGAATGTTACATTGATAATGTGATGTAAGAAAATAATAGTCAAAATATCTCCTTGATTATAATCATTTCTTTAAATTAAAAAATTTGTCTATAACATAGTCAAATGATCGTAGTGTATGAGGAAAGTAAGAATGTTTTCAAGCGCATCAGAGATGAAGCAGATGGAGATAATTGACTACTTTCTTAGAGACAATGACAATGCGCAAGGAGCATATGATGGTTATTGTCATGTACTTTCTCAGCGATAAAATATTTGCATGCATAGATTATAAAACTTGTTGACTTTGGATTGACGTGAAAAGAAACATTTGCATGATGATTTAGATGATGACAGTAGAAACAACAACTTATAGATAAATGATATCCAAGACTAACAACATAGTGACTTTGAGGAAAAAAGAGAATTAAGCAATAACCCTAAACTTATATTCACAAGATTGATGATTCGAGCGTCGCAAGGAAAACACAAGGATTAGGTTTAGGGCAAAAATAAATTGTTTAAAGTAAGTCAAATGAGAAGCTAGTGGGAAGTTCAGATGAGAGCATACTGTACATTTCATTTGATTGGAGGTCAAGAAGCCTGCTCGTACGAGGTAGTCATGTGAGCAAATTGTGTGTTTAGATGACTTGTAGTTATTTCATTACGAAGAGTAAAATTAAATAATTGTAAGCTGGATTGTTCAAATAAAATAGTATGTGTGATTTTTGTATCGTGCGAACATTGTAATTTAAGTTTCAAGAGCTAAGTGAAACTATACAAGTATATGTAAGCCAAATATTTTCACCTAAACCACAACGCATAAGGGTGGAGGTTTAGGGCTGACACAAACATCATGTTAATACAAATTTTATATATTTTTAAATGATTATTATTTTGAAATTTAAAAATAAAAATGAAAAATGAAATTGATCCTATTGTACAAGGTTTATATTTAATTGATAATTGTAACAAAGCATGTTGTGTATAGCATTATAGTAATGAAGAACTTCATAAAGTTTCACATCAAGGACGATATGATAACACGAAAAACTAATGCTACACACAACATATTTTTCTATAACTACTGATTATCAAATCACACTTGTATGAAGTAATTCATTATTATAAAGCTAACACATATGTTGTTATAGGTTTCAAATATATATAAATTCATTTTTTTGAATTGATTTATTATTTAAAAATAATAAATTAATGAAGAAAGATAATCAAAAGTATAGATTTTTATATTTACTCTAATCTTGTAACAATATATGTTGTGTAGTGCATTATAAAAATGGATTATTTCATACAGGTGCAACTTGATATTCAATTCGTACATGCAATTAATGTTACACATAACATGTATTTTTTGTATAAACTAATTATAAATTCACATCTAAAATGAAATTGTATGAAATAAATCATTACTCTACTGCTACACATTACATATGTTGATATAGGAGTCAGGTAAATTTGGGATTAAAATTTGATAAATTTTATTTATTTATTTGAAGAAAAATTATTTAATAAATAAAATCAATCAAAAATTTAAAAATGCATATTTCTATGACTTTGTAACAATACTTGTTCTATGTAACATCATAATATTGAATTATTTCATATAGTTTCACATTAGATGCGACTTGTTATTCAGTTGTTACAGTAAAACATGTTGTGTGTAGCATTAGTAATTCAAATGAATACAAACGTACAAAATTTTTATAAACTTGATTATTGTAATAACACTTGTTTGTGTAGCATTTATTTCTTGTATTGATAGATTATCAAATCAAAATCAACAAGAAGCCATATGACTACTTAATGTTTATGATGTTACACACAACATGTCTTGTTATAGATTCAATTAAAAAAGACCTTTGTATTTTTGGATTGATTTTATTAATTAAATTATATAAAACTTTTAACTTCTATCGTGATTTTTTTAAAGATTTGTTTATTATGATATTCTTTGAAAACATATACTTTGAAGTTTCAATTTCTTTCAGATTGGAGGAGTTGGACAAACTTACTTTGGCATATGATATGAAATATTTCATTATTGTAATGATACACATGCTAAGTTCAAAAATATTTCAATTATTTAAATATAATTGAAATAAAAACTCAATCCAAATTATATCATATATACATTAGCATTAAAAAAATACTTTGTACATTACATGATTGATAATTATTTTTTCAGTATTGAAGTACTTCATACAGTTTCACTTTAGGTGAGACTTGGTTTTTTAGTGGTACAGAAAATTAAAGCTACGCATAACATGTGTGGCTACAATATATTAATTTTCTGAACCGAATAATTACCAAGTCCCACCTAATATGAACCGTATGAAGTATTTCTTTTTCTTAATGCTATGTATAATATAAAAAAGAAATACTTTATACGGTTCGTATTAGTTGGAACTTGGTAATCAGTAGGTTCATGAAATTAATGTATTGTAGCCACATGTGTTATACGTAGCTTTAATTTTCTGTACCACTGATTACCAAGTCTCACCTAAAGTGAAACTGTATGAAGTACTTCATTACTGGAAAAAGTAATTACGAATCATGTACTTCATAGATTTTGTTATGTTTCTTTCCCCTTAATTTACGTAAATCCAAATTGCTGATCTTTGGGCAACTCTCTTTATCATGATTTATTCGATTTATTTCAACTGAAATTGTTACAATACACCGGAATGATCTCTCATTCTTCAAAGCTCAGACAGTACATATTCAGAAAATTTACCGGTCGCTATCTGCGGTACATAGAAGCTACTTATTTGCAGACGCAGTTTGGTACGTGCTACAGTGTGATCAACCGGAGGACATAACGACAATCCGTCCTTCATGTAATGTGCATGCATGCAAGTAATTGCTGCGAACAAGAACACTAGAAACGACTGACACAAGAACACTACCGCGTTACCGAAAGGATGAGGAGGCGGCTGCTAGCGTGTGTCGAAGGGAACGGAAGGAAACCTCGCCTAGTCGACAACATGATACGTGAAAGAAGGGCCCGCGGCAAAATTGCCGTCGCCGGAAAGCCTGCGAGTTATAGCGCGGCGCGGTACGTATGGAGCCGCGGACCGCGACGGAGCGACTGAGCGGAATCGGGAAACGGACGGTACGTGAGCGGAGAGCCGTCGTCGGCGTCGTAAGTATATGTGTGAAGGCGGAGCAGCTATTTGAGCACGAAAAGTTTGAACGCTACCGGTGAGACGAAGAGGGAGGCTCTCGCGTCTTTGTCTTCTGCTCGCGCTCTCGCTCGCTGTTCTGCATACGGCGTTGCGTTGCTTGGCTGGGCCATTCAAAGAAAGGCCCAGCCGGGCTGTGGGCTTGGCAGCGGATGGTCGAATTCGAGACGAGACTGAGTGAGGCGAGTGATGATTCGGAGCATGCGCATTGATCGCCGCAGAGGTTCATTGTGCTCCGAATTGCATACGAATCGGTGGGGTGGGGCCGGGTGAGGGAATTCGGGGAATGCTTTGGATTCATTCGAGGCGAGAAAGTAACGTAGATTTTGTGTGTACATTCTGCCAGTACGAAGAAGTATCAAAGACGGCTCCTGATTCGTCGTCGCCTTGGTCTGAATCAAGGCTTTTGTATAGCTTGCTGTGCATTGTCCCGTGGCCAGGTCGCGCTGCGATCCTGTCTCTTGTTGAGCGAGAGTTGTTAATTATTTCGTGTCGCTGACTGCAGTTTCTGGGAAAGGAGTTTTGAGCAAAACATGCTCGTTTGCTGTGGGGACGATACTTGCAATTTGCTTCATACAGTGGGAATTCATGTTCCGCTGTCACACGGTGCGAACATTTGTAGTCTGGGAGTGCAGTGCAATTTTGTTCTGATCTGTTCCTCTCCGTTATTTAAACTGCTTTGCAGTTTGAACTTCGCATCCATGTTCGTCTTTAATCCAAAATAGTCCTCGCTAGAAGATAGCCAATGAACAACAATCGTAGCCGAGGAAGAAACGTATGAAAGGTTTCACGAGATCAACGTCATCATCCATTACGTTCTTGTTTTTCCTCACAGCCCAGTGCCGTGTGCTTGCCAAGAAGATGCGTCTTGCTGATTGACGATGGATGCTTGTGGTTGATAGTACAATTCCCTTGTAAATGGTCGTACTCTCAAAGCCTACCAGTTTGTGAGTCGACTGTTCAAATCCTCCTCACTGCCCACATTCACGTTGCGTTCTTTTTACCGCACAATGGCTGTGACGGGAGGGAGTGAGCTGAGTGATGATCTAAGCTCAGTGGGCCTGGAATCGGATTTCAGCGAGCTTCGAGACAGCGTAAGTGCTTTGCGCTTGGAATCAGGTCTGCAACATGCAGATACGTCGTCGGAACGTCGTTCTGAGGTTGGGAACAGGACTATAGAATTCCATCACTCCGCGAAGGATCCAATTGATCTCGTGAAACTCATGGACGTAAAACATCGCCAGGCAGGGGGTGAAACTCACCGGTCCCTGGATGAAAAGTCCTTCAGTGAGATAATGAACTTCCCAGAGACAGCCGTTCGGCCTCCCCGAGCACTAGAGACAGTCAAAAGCTCAGAGTGTTTAGAGGGTATGGTCTCTCCGGGTATAAGAGCAAATTCGAGTTCCAGTACAAGTCAGCCTCGTCCCCAAACAACATTTGAACCTAACGCTATGATCTCAAGTGCTTGGGAGGCTCTAAGAAAGTCTTTGGTACACTTTCGCGGCAAGCCGGTTGGAACGCTCGCTGCGTGTGATCCAACGGAGGACTCATTGAATTACAATCAGGTGAGGACTTCCAATCTTCACGTCGAACGTTAAAAGACGTCTAGAGCAGATCTTAGATGACACTATCTGTGGTGGAGCTAGCCCATTCTCAGGACAGTATCATCTCTCTCCTCCAAGTGTGCCGTGTCGAAACTGCAAGAAGTAGGCAGAAAGTTTTGCAGCTAAATGTTTCTTTTGTTACGAATTTTCGTTTCTTTTCTTCTCTTGGACCTGATTCGAAAAAGTCATGATACTTTGTTACTGGTCCGCGAAGGCGAAACGCCATATAGAATTACGTCATCTCTACCAAGAACGATCAGATCATACACCAAGATTCAGAAAGATAGCGTTCATATTCTAAGATAACAGGGCCTGGCCATCGAGTATTGACGAATCTACGTCCCCTCACAGCACCAATTAGAAACGTTAAATCTTGGTCGTGAAATGTGACTGACACATGCGTTGATGCCTTCAGGTTTTCGTTCGAGACTTCGTTCCCAGTGGTTTGGCATTTCTGATGAACGGTGAACCAGAAATTGTAAAAAACTTCTTGTTGAAAGCACTCCGTCTTCAATCATGGGAAAAACACATCGATTGTTTTACCCTCGGTGAAGGGGTGATGCCTGCGAGTTTCAAAGTCCTACATGATCCGTCCCGGAAATTCGATACGATGATAGCAGACTTTGGGGAGAGTGCAATTGGTAGAGTTGCGCCAGTAGACTCAGGGTTCTGGTGGATCATCTTACTTCGAGCTTATGTGAAGTCTACGGGCGATCACAGTCTAGCAGACATGTCAGATTGTCAACGTGGGATGAGGCTCATTCTCACATTGTGCCTCTCGGACGGCTTTGATACATTTCCAACACTTCTTTGCGCGGATGGCTGCTGCATGATCGACCGAAGAATGGTGAGTTTGTATTTCCTTCTAAACAGTGAATACACGTAGGCATTTATAAATGCTCTTTGAGATTAGTTGTATTTCCTGCATGGTGGTGTCCAACTTCTTCTAGAATTACATCAGTTATACATTGCGAAGATTGCTAATTCGAAGCCTTAGTCACCTATAGCTAGTGTTCTTCATTGTTCATCTCGGGAGATATGAAAATAAGAATCTTCTCACTTGACGACTGGTAGCAACTAGACGTTGCCCGTGAGCATTCGATATTTTGAGTTATCAGTCTATATCTGGCCTTACTGCCTAGTTTCTTCAAGCCCTTGATTAATGACTAGGAAGTGGAAATCCCAAATATTGACATAGAAGCCTCATGCCAACTTGTGCAGGGAATTTACGGATATCCGATCGAGATACAGTCGCTTTTCTTCATGGCCCTGCGTTGCGCAAGATTTCTGCTCAGACCTGAAGCTGGGGGAAAAGAGTTTCTGGAGCGAATAGACAAAAGACTCCACGCTTTGAGCTTTCACATTCGAACATACTACTGGCTAGACCACCAGCAACTGAACAATATCTACAGATACAAGACGGAAGAGTATTCTCAGACTGCTGTCAACAAGTTCAATGTCATTCCTGATTCGATCCCTGATTGGCTCTTTGATTGGATGCCCATGAAAGGAGGCTACTTCATTGGGAATGTCAGTCCGGCTAGAATGGATTTCCGATGGTTTACTATCGGTAATTGTGTAGCAATTTTATCATCATTGTCCACTCCCGACCAATCATCTGCTATCATGGATCTCATCGAGGAGCGTTGGGAAGAACTCGTAGGGTTTATGCCCTTGAAGGTGTGCTATCCCGCACTGGAATCACGTGAGTGGCAAATCACGACTGGGTGTGATCCAAAGAACACAAGATGGAGCTATCATAACGGTGGCTCTTGGCCAGGTACCGAGTTCCGTTTTCCACATTCTTGACACGTTTCTAAAAGTTTCTTATTGATTGTTGAATGTTCTATATTTTCCTGAAATGTTCCTTCGATCCATCATCATTGAGTCCATGACTTTGTCAAAAGCTCAACCTATTTCTTAAGAAGGAATTGTGTCCTGGATTCTATCGTAGAAAGAAACCTAAGATTTCCATTGGTATTTGGCTCTTGGCAGTCCTCCTATGGATGTTGACTGCAGCGTCTATAAAGACTGGAAGACCGCAAATTGCTCGCAAAGCAATTGAGCTTATGGAAGCAAGGTTGATGAAAGATGGATGGCCAGAATATTACGACGGTAAACTGGGTCGGTACATCGGCAAACAGGCCAGGAAGTTTCAAACCTGGTCTATCGCTGGGTATTTGGTGTCGAAGATGATGTTGGAGGATCCCTCGCATTTGGGGATGATCAGCTTGGAGGAAGACAGAAAAATGAAGCCATCATTGACCAGATCCGTTTCATTCTGAGATTTCTTGTCGTTGATGAGATTAGCATGTTGGTGTTTTCATTTGATTGGGAGTTTCTTAGTTTTCGCCAACTGCAAGACGTCGCACCACAAGTGGCTAAACCTGGCCATTATGGTGGTTGACGTTAGCACTTGGGATTGAACACGTGTAACTTCCACAAGGCAGGGCATATCGACCCAGATTTGTCTTAGCTAGCTCGAGGTTTGACACTTTTTGCAATTGTAAAGCTCTCATCGGATGCATAGGAAACCATAACTTTTGTTAGTAAGGTGATAGCAATTTCTGTTCTCAAGCAGTGGTGTTGCAATAAATTAACATTGAGTTGTCAGGCGCACTTAATACCTGCGATGGTATTTTTCATTTTTTGTTGTCCGTTGTGCACTGCAGACTTATATATGACAAAAATTTTATATAAATTTGACGTTGATATGGAGGCATGTGGGCTATTATTTTTTTAATGTAAATGATGGAAATTTCCCCCCAGATTTTGATATCCCAATGTCATGTGGTGTATTCTTGTAACAGCAAGAAAAAAAGAGAATTTCAACACTTTATCTGCATACAATGTTGTACTGATTCAATGCCCAAACATTATGATTCTAGAACATTATCATGATTTCCTTGATTTTAATATTATTTTGTTGTTGATTGTATATAGTAGAGCATTATCTTATCATATGAAATGTTATACGTTTGGCGAATCTAAATTCATTCTCAAATCTTATCAAACCATTTTGAATTATGTCTATTATGATTCTAATTAAATACATGTAGTTATTCAAGAACACGTTCTTTGTTTGCATGTTGGGATTTATGATTTATTAGCTTGTACAGTATTACCTAGAGTTTTAATAAGATTTTTTTCTAGTATTCAATTGTGTTATTGATTGAAGCATGTTTTAATGATGCTAATCATTAAAACATATCAAATGTAAACTTGAGTTTGAAGTATTTTCATTCTAAAATCTAGCATCATAGTGAATATTCATTTCCAACTTTACTTTGCCACATTTATGAATTCATGTTTGAGATGATGAGCAAGATTTAAAGCCTATCTGTTTTTCATTAGATGATTTATTTTATTTTTTTAACATGTGACAGATCACAAAATGTGACCAGACACTTTGTATTATTGTTACGTAACTCTAAAATGATATACGAAATTATTGCCATATTGTTATTTGGATTGTAAAAAGTAACACAATTATTTATAAAGTCCACGAATACATAAACAATTCGGACAGTAACATAAATCACACCGAAAAAAAAATAAAAATGGTTCGCCATTCTCACGGGAACAACAAATTCCGTAACCAAAAAATCACAAATGTTTACAGCAAACTATGGCTAGCACTCATATATATAAGAAAAAAGCACACCTTGGGTTTAGATCTAACTATGGTTGAGCTTAAATTTAGCTCTAATCCGAGTTATGTTAAGTAGAGTTTAATCCGAGACTTGAGTTAATATCAGCATGAAATTCATGTAATTTTTTAGTTATAAATTATACATGCTGTTAGATGCATACTTATTGGAGATGAAATTACATTAATTGTGATAATCGTCATGTTATCATATCATAACATCACATATGTCATGTTCACATTAAATTTTATACTAAAAATAGTTATCTTAAATAACATAAAAATCTACTAAGTCAGTCTAATTATTATAATATTTCTAACATTCCTGTATGTAAAGCATATAAATGTGTCATTTGCTTACATTATAATCATGTATCAACAACTTGATCTTTCATTCAATATTATATATATTGGACATCCTTTTATTCATTCCTAGATTTATAAATTCATAATCTTGATAACATAATCTACTTGTGTATGTAAAAATTAAATTTTTTTTAATTAAGTTGAGTTAAAAATTATTTGTAACTTTATAATTTATTCTTAAAATAATTTGAAATCATTAACTAAACAATTAAAAATATTTGATGTCTAAAATATCATTATTATGATCTTGTTGTCACAAAATTTTCATCTTGTTAACATTCTTCACAAAAATCATGATTATTTTGAATTCATATTGATAAAAAAAAGTTGTGATAAATGTTATTTTAAAATGAGGTTTGCTTAGAGTTCATGAGAGTCAATTTTAATATATTGTTATTTAATATATTAAATATACATATATGAAAAATATATATCTGATTTTTATAATAAATAATTTTTGATTCATGATTATTATATTTAGCATTGTAGCAGGAACCTGAGATTAATAAGTGATCACGAGGTGATAAAACCTGAGAATCAACAACCAACATGAGAAAAAGATGTAATGTGGTTCACCCTTAGGGGAGGAGGGTTACGTCCACTAGGATCACTTATACAACTTTTACTCAAGGTCTGTCGCGAGACAACTAAATATACAAGGCAAAAGCCAGGGTATTTAACCCATAGTCTAGACGACGTCTGACCAATAATAGCTAGGTCCAGAGGTTATTCCTTAATTGGAGTTAACCTCAACAATCTCCCCCTTTACTCGTGTTAAGAAAACTCAGTATACTCTCTAACCTATATTATTACTCCGCGGAAAATTCTAGACGACAACCTAACACAAAGTCTCTCTTTAAAGCAGAGTGAATTACAAGTATGTCGTAGCCTTAACATGATAGAGTAATAATACAGAGGTAATTAAACAATGTCTCAAGACATCATCGAAAGAAACAACTATTCAAAGCCCATAGCTTAGTTTTGCCAAAGCACAGAATCTAGAACTTATAGATTCAAATTCTTTGACATGTGAATTGTCATCACGACCACTATTTATTGGCACCAAACCAATGTCACTTCTCTACATACTGGAAATTGGGACACTGCTTTCACCCCTTGGCCATGAATGTTGAAGCAATACAATCAAAATGGAACCAATGCCAGTATACGAGTTTCGTAATTAATCTATCTCAGCCGTGAATGAGTTCAACATCTAGGCAAATACTACAGATCCATGTCTCAGCATCCAGTGATGTTTTCGCATCTTACTTCTTCACACATGTGGACATATCTTACCTATGTGGTACTTGTGCATTGTTGTAAAAAAAGTCGTCAATAACATTCTTCATCACATTCTCATACCCAAGTGAATTTGAATCTATACCGCTATCCACCGCTGTCAATAACAAAACTTTTTGTCTATTCATGATATTCAAATCAGCATGTTCCAATATTCGTTGAAAGGAATCTATTAATACCTTCTCACTATGACTATCCATGATTTTGAAATACAATTAATCCAGATGACAATGTAGAATTTGGATGAGATTCAAGAGAACGAGATACTACCCAATCAACCCACCAAGTGTCGCCCGTGACTTTGGTCGGCAACTGACTATTGTACTCAACTAATCAAAAGCCAACCAAAAGCCTCAAAACTTTCAATGAAAATTGTGAGAGATTCAAAACTTAAACTTCAAAAATAAAAATAAAAATGTGTCTCTTTGTCATAAACCCGAGTCGTAACATCGTTCTGATATCAAATGTAGCGGCAACCTGAGAATAATCAGTGAACATGAGTTGATAACACTGAAGAATCAACAAGCAACAGGAGAGACAGAAGTAACATGGTTCATCCTCGGAGGATAAGAGCTACGTCCACCAGGAACATTGATACAACTTCTACTGAAAGTCTATTGAGAACGACAAATTGTACAAGGCAAAAGCCAGGGTGTTTAACCCTAGTTCAGAAAGTCTCAGCTATAAGTAGCTGGATCCAGAGGTTACTCCTTAATTGGAGTTAACCTCAACAAGATTGGAAATACTTATTGATATATTATTTTTTGAAAATATTATATTTTTATTATAGCAAATATGAATTTAATTTTTTAAATATTTTTTAAGCTTTATTGTTGTATAAAATTTTATGAATTATATTTATTGATATAATTTGTAAGACATACATCACACTTTACACGTTTATTCAATCTTTGAATTTTGAAATTTGAATTTGTTTTACATTTGGCCATAAAATTATTATTTTCACTTCATGCTAGATTTTAAAATTAACAATCAATACAATTATTCATGAAATAATTGATTATTTCAAAGTTGGAAGATGATACTCATTCGAAAATAGAAAATATCTGATACATAATACAACGCTTGATAAAGTCAATTTTGATTTGTATTATATGTTATAATTTTTGCAAAGCTAATTATTATAGAAGTAAATTACTTGATAGAGATCTACATAACAAAATATATTTATTGGGATCTATCAAGTTTTGTTTTACCCGATGAAACTCCACCAGTTGTCAAGTTCTAAAATCTATTACTCTATATATGTATGATTCGAGCTATAGTGTGATGGTTGTGAGACGTTGACAAGCACAGTACATGGTATCATCATTTTCAAGCTCGTGAAGAATTTATAACCGACGCTCAAAGATCAAGAGTCTATATTGAGCATGTCCGCGGGTTGGATTCATATTTTTGGTTCTTCGATCACATGCTTACCTCTTCCAAGGTGAACGAAACCAAGACAAGGCTTGTTGTCGAATTGACTATCTATCTAATGAAACATGAATGGTAGAGCGCATTGTAGATCACCATTTTGAGTAAGTAGGCATCTCAAATTTTGGAGATCTAAAAGCTCCTAAAAGAGATGATGGCCATAATTTTTTCTATTGAGAAAAAGTCTAGGCCCAGACAATAGATTAAAAAATAAGAGGTTGGAAAGGCGTATCGCATTTACTCCACAGATGAAAGCGCTCTAATTCCTCAAGTCAGAAGTGTCGACGAGTTCTAATGAGAAGAGAGCGACATAATTATTTTATGTCGAGTGAGAAGCAACAATATAAGATCAATACAGACAGAGTAACTATCGGGGCTTGATGGATTTGTTTGTGAGAGTGATGAACAACCATTCCAGACCCTCGAGAAGTACTCTTGTCACAACGGACGTGCTCTGGCGATGCATTGGCCTCTTCTCGTGCAAGGCTGCAAGATCGAAACTCTCCTTGAACTCCTCAAGTTCTTTCATGCATCCTGGTAGAAACGGTTTGTTGGCGAACACCAGCAACGCTACGCCTTGAAGCTCCTCCTCCTGCAACACGCTTTGCGGCTCGTGGCAGGACTATGACTGGCTACTTGATTGTTTTGTGACTGAAACTTGATTGGAACTAGTAAGCAATTTGTGTTGAGATGGGGTCCAATCAAATTATTACCTCATAATACAGAGCATGTTGGTAACTGGAAATTAAATATCATTAGACAATTCACAATTTATTGGTTGTATCAAAAGATATTCTTAAAAATAATATAATTAAAAATAAAATCATCTTATATGATGAGATTATTTTTCTACTAAATAACTAATAATCATGTCTCACAAGAAAAATTTTTAAATTTTATTTTTATTAAACATGGTCAATATTAAAAAAGATCTTTCATAATATTAAATGCATCGTTTCTGAATAATCAAACTTTAAATATTAAACATGATATATATAATTTATCTTTACAACTTTAATTCATATTATTACAATTTGAAATGATTTTCAAACCAAATATACATAAATGATCTTAAATTTAAAAAAATGAATTTATTCATTTAAAAAAATTGAAAAATATTAGATTTATCTCCTGAAATGATGTTATTAAGTTTTATGTAATAAAATTTCAGGTTATTTAAATAAGACATTTATAATATAAAATAAATAAATCATGCACATATAATTTTATAATTATTATATATTAGATTATTATTTTAGATTCAAGTCTAAAAATTGAAATATGTATCATTAAATAATTAGAATTTATATCAATGTCAATATAAGAATAAAAAAATTTGTGTATTTTATGTGTGTTAAATACATTTAAAGTTGTCTAAATATCTTTTTAACCCTTTTTAAGTTTTTTTTCTAATGTATATATGATAAATGATCTAAGATAACTTATTTTATTTCTACATCATTTTATGAATAATGAAATGTATGATAACAATCAATCAAAATATCAGAACCTACTTTGAATACAGAAAGTTTAGATAGAAAAATTGGAAATGGGGATGGATTAATGATGATAAGACTACTTGAAGCTCTGCAAGTCTAAAAATTTAGTGTGATAGTGTTTCGAATTTTTTCCCTCAAAATTTAGGAACAAAAGACACATTGAAAATTTTATTTGTAAATATTTTGTATAAGGTAAAATTTATCATAATTAAAAATCAAAATTTTGAATTAAAAGTATAAAACGTTCCTTGATTATTTGAATATTTGTGTTTACAACATGTTTGTCATGAGTTCATACGGATGTATATATGTAGACTTATGATATGCTCAAGTCTATATTCATCTCAAAGTATATCATGTGCTGTATACAAGTGTTACGAGATGAAGATGGTCTAATGTAAATATCTTATCTTACATCCTTTACACTCACTGTCATTTTCATGTACTCATTTCTCTCATAGTCAGCTATGCTTACTTACTTACGATTCCCCTCGAGCACAACACATTGATGACATTTACAGCACTGTACATGGCTAGTAGCTGGGACGCGGTTCAGAAACAGCTGTGATTGTGACCAATGCACCTTTGAAGTGAATCGCGATTCAACTATCCCAAGGGTCGCATCTTTGGGTCCAAAGGTAAGACGAATGCTCGGACAGATGAAGATGCGGAATTTAGTGGATAATGAGTAGGCTCATCGACTTCATTCTTGCAGTGTGATCGTGAAGAGCCTTACGACTCGTGCCGAATCTTCTTTTGCCTGTTTACCCCGCTAAAAACACATGTTATGCTCGCTTGCGGGCAAAAGCTTACTATGATGGCGGGACCACATTTACCTGTCTACCGCGTGTCATGGAAATGACAACGACCTCCGGTTCAGTCGGAAGCTATTAAGAGGTATCCCTTCATACAATGACATTCTAGTATATCATATTACCTTTCGTATAAGACATCATACAAGGCTCAGTTAAAACCTTAAACCCTTCAAGTATATTCATATTTACAGGACGAAGGATCAGATTTACAAACACATCCGTATACCTACGAGGTGTTCGTATATAGAAAGTACACCTTGTCGTATCATATGGCGTATGTGAATCCATTTTTGCTCCGGTACAGGAACGTCTTTGCTCCAGTATACTTCAATCTTAAACCAAAGGGCTTATGGTTTAAGAACACAAGAGTATATTGAAAGGGTCTAGTAAATAGTAAGCAATGAATGGGAAGAGTCTATCAAGACTCTGCTATGAGTGAAATATACTGAACATACTAGAATATAAAAAGCTTGTACTTTGTACTCCTTAACCAAATACCAAATATAAAGAATGCTGAAAAACAGATGTGTGAGATCGGTTCTCAAACCAAATCGGCACCAGAAGCACAAAGGACGCAGACTTGAATAGATTGTGCATGAAAATGGTCGGCGCGTTCCGGCTGCTATCGAAGGAGCCAAACTGTCTAGCTCTTGTAACGAGAGTGACTCTAGCGGTTGCTTGCAGTTCGAGAGAGAGAAGTCCCAACACGTCCGTCGTAGTCGAGGTGCATGGGCATCCGGCTGGTGTGCAGGCTCGTGCGCTTGCTCTTCTTGCTCGTTTGGTGGGGAGTGCAATCTATCGCAGCAGTAGTCGGTGGTCGATGATCGGGTCGGAGATGGGGCCCTGACATGTCCAGCGCAGAATCTGTAGTGGAGGTAACATGACCGCGTGTGGAATTTGGAATTTGGAATATGAAGAACAATATATTTCCCGAATCAAAGGAAGTGGCTATGGGTATAAGAAGGAATTTGAACCCGGAGGATATGTGCACAAACCTCAACGGGGGCCGAGGACCAGAGCTAGAGCAGCGGGTAATTATTCTCACTACTTCGAACAATCCAGAACTCGAGGTTCAGAACCAGAAGAGTGGAGTTAATAATCATCAGCTGCTGGCCAATTTCGAGCGAGGACAGGACGACGACATGGCTAGAATGCAAGCAGCAAACGAGCGTGATTTGGAACAGCCGCTTTTGCACGGGCGCGAAGCCGAAATATCCCAACCCACTCCTCCGTTGAAGGTGTTCCCGAAATGCCCAGGATGCAAAGTTGCCCATCTCTCAGCGGACGGAGCACCCCCTTCCTATAAAGAACTTTGCTTTGTGGCGATTATGATGCTGTGCAATGGTACGTATCAAACTTACCATTCTATTCTGTTACTTCTTCCCAGGTGCTGACGAAGTCTACCTTGTCGAAATTTCTAGAGAGTGTGTGTCTGTTAGAGAGAGAGAGAGAGAAAGAATTGCTGAGAGATCTATCGTAAATGGTCATGTTCGTCCGGAATTGAAACAATCTGTTTGCTGTTTATTTCCGATTACATTTCTGATTCATTGACTAGCTAACTGGAGATCAATATATTCGAAGAAATGTTTTGACTGACTTTGATGTGGCCTTCGATGCAGCGCTACCCATTTCGTTCATGTATCCATTCCTTTACTTTATGGTACGATCATCCTACTTTCTCTTTGGACTTGAGCAGAAGCTGTCACAATATTCGATTATAACTGCTGTAATTGTATATGCTTGGTGTATTTGAAGACCGTGGGTAGGTCCATCCACAATCAATTAAGCCGTCTGCAGAAAGTTTATCTTTTCTTTCTCTCTACTGTGCTTGAAGGTGAGAGATATGCATGTTGCAAAACGTCCAGAAGACATCGGCTTTTATGCCGGATACATTGGTACGTATTTAAGAACTTGATTTGTCTTCTTAATTCAGAGGGCCAATTGTGACTTTTCGCACAGCCTAGATTGTACCGGTCATCTCATTCCAGTGAATCTATGCACCAAATTACAATTTATTCAGTTTCCACTCAGCCCAGCTTAGTTTATCGCGTCTCACAAAATTTGAAAGATAGATGAAACAAGAAGTACATTCATTTCTTCAATAATCAATTTCGACGAGTTCCTACGTAGTTATAACTTCGATGTGAGAATTAGCTCCATAATTCACTTTTCTGCTGCAGAAGAGGTAATGTTTGCTGGGTTCCATCGTTGATGGGTCTGGCAACTGTACAGACCTTGCTAGCTTGAGTTCGAAATAATATGCACTGATGGAGTACTTTATTTCAAGGGGTTGTGGGCTGTTTAATTACCACTCAGCTGTTTACATCGATACGTCTTTGCGCCCCCGATGGATTGTAGGAGAGCTTAGTATTTCGAATGTAACTTCTTTCGTCTCTCGAATTCACATGGTAGTCTTGCAGTTCATGCACGCATCCTCAATAGTCTTTGACCAATTGGAAAATCGGATATCAGTCCGACCTTCCCCCCGTAATTTATCAGTTTGTGAAGGAAAATCTTTCGAGTTTTTACGTTTACAAAACAATTTTAACGTCTTCATACGTTCCATACGTGGAACTTATATCTTTGGTAACGGAGTTCTACACTTCGAACAATGTCAAATTCGAGCCGAAATCGTCACTTTTACATATTGCAGAGCTTTTGAGTAGAATCCCACCTATTGAGACACACTGGACTAGATGAACTCAATTTCTGTGGACGGGCTGCTGTTCAAATTCCACTTCCGCATGCCAAATTTATATTCCATACGTCTTTGTAGCAAGAAACTCTACCATAACCCAGAAATGTTTTCGACGGAAGAATGGACAATCATGACGTTTCCAGTAATTTTTTTGCAGGATCGGCGTTTATGTTCGGGAGATTTCTAACGTCAATGCAATGGGGAGTGATTGCTGATAAATATGGACGGAAGCCAGTAATGCTCGCCGGAGTTGTTTCAGTGTGAGTTGGAGTCCTTTTTACTTTTAAATTCCATGATATACCCGAAAGATAGATTCTCTCAAGTAAGAGTCACGTCACCTGAATGTAACTCAGCCTATTGTTTTTGCCTCTACATGAAGGACGAAGGTATGAAAGTTCCACTGTATTTATTCGAGCCTTTACTTTTCTCATCGTACAGGATAGTCTTCAGCATTATGTTCGGATTAAGTCAGGACTTTTGGATGGCATTTTTTGCCCGCCTCCTCCTGGGAGGCTTCAATGGTATACTTGGACCTGTAAAGGTAAGATTTGTACCCAACACTACATTCATTTACGTTTAGAAAATGTTTTGAAAACCGATTGCAAGCTTATAAGATACAGGTGTACATTTCGCAGATGTCAGATTTAACGTCCACAGACACCTCTTAGGGGTTGTATGACAGAGTTTTGATCGTATTGCTGAACTGTCAAATTTGCTCCTCACTAACTTCAATGTGGTCTTCTCCTCTTTCTTCATGTATATAATAGGCCTACGCATCCGAGATTTGCAGCGATGAGCATCAACCATTAGGAGTCTCTGTGGTGAGTACCTTCAGCACCTCAATTTTAAGGAGAGGTAGACCTTTTCTTACGGGTACCAGTTAGAACGTGAACACCCTTCTATATCCTCCAAATTTATTTTTCAAATCAGATTGATAAACTTTTTAAGATGCACAGACAACATCCACAGCTGCTTTTGTGCCACTGCTCTACTAAGTAAGTACAATGTTGATGGGTGTCTGTCAGGTTGGAACAACTTTAGGTCTAGGGATGGTCATTGGTCCCAGCCTTGGAGGCTATCTATCTCAAGTAAGTACTTCATTATTATTTCAAACGCGGTTGATATAGCTACGACAACTTGTCGCTATCATTTCAAAGAAGTGAAACTAACCAATTTTGCTCCCAAGTTACTCCCTGGTAGATGGTACAAGTTGGCCTGCAAAGTATATGCAAAATAGAATTTGATTCCTACGGGTAATTGTGTGTGTTGTGAGGTTTAGTTTCTTCAATTAATGGACTAAAATATTTTTTGTTGTAAAGTATGGAACGAATTCGCAAGTTCAAATGTTATGCCAAGTTTGTTAGAAGCAGCATATCCTAAAAAGATTCACAACTTCCTGAACAGTTAGTTCAGGTTGAAATGACTAACGTCAAACAATATCATGGCTTTTATTTACAGCCAGCTCTCAAGTATCCGGCCATGTTTCCCCCCGGTTCTCTATTTGCTGTGTGAGTATTCGCTCTAACACCTATTTCGTCCATATTGCTGTCTAGAAATGGTTCATCTTTATCTATCTCTCTCTCCTTCCTTCTCCCGCGCGACCGGGCCTGTCTTTCATTAGTAGGCGACTCATCTTACAGGCCAATTCTTGTGATATGACAGAACCTGTTCAGTCTTTTTAAAATTTCTAAGTCAGGGACTGGACAACCTACTCTGGCCCTTTGGGTATTCTGAGATCAATACTGAAATCACCAAGACGTTCACTACTTTGCAGGTATCCCTACTTGCTGCCATGTGTCTTCTGTTCAGCAATCTCCGTTGTGGCGCTCTTCATCACTGTGCTTTACCTTCCTGTAAGTAGACTTCTAAATCAGTGTGATCGAATATTATTATATTATACTTCTTTAAGTCTTACGGAAAGGAAATTGATCATAGTCTGAGCTGAAGCTCTATACAAGGCGTCCATACTAGTAATAAGTTGTGTTCTAACTCGTTCTTACGCGGATGATGAACAAGCAAGTAAAATCACCTTCCATAACTTCGCTTTCATGTCGCGAGTGGAGAATTTGAACTATGAGATTATGACTGCTTGGCAAAAAGGAAAAGGAAAAGAACACAATCCAACCAAAAACGATGTACTATTTACCATGTGGAACAAACTGTAATGGGAGTTTGTTACTGCAAGTATCTCCGTCTGCAGTGACCCTAACGGCGTTCACTTGATTAGGTTTACCCATACGTGTACAAGACAATTCACATTGCATTTGATATGTGTGCAGGAAACTTTGCACATTCATAATGATGAAGATGCTCTTATCGAAGGTGATGAAGATGGTTTCGTATCGAGTACTTACGCTGATAAATATGATAAGATCAAAGGAGAAGAAGCAGGGGAAAAACTTCTCGGCGAGGAAAGCGATAGCGCAGAGGAGCTTGCGAAGCAGGAAGCTAAGAAGAATGACTCCTTATTAGAAGTTTTGCGCAACTGGCCTTTGGTCTCTGCTGTACTCGTTTACTGTACCTGGTCAATGCACAACATGGCTTACACGGAGGTACAAAACAATGAAAGAAATCGTTCAAAATTTTTCTGGGTTGAATATGAATCACTTTATTGAGGATAAATGATATTGCGGATGTCAGGGTTTTTGTTAAATTTTGCACAGTAGCATTGTAGTATGTCTAAGACACCTAATATGTTGATAAAAGTAACTATGCATTCCCCTTGGTTGCAGATATTTGCTTTGTGGTGTGTCTCCCCGAGGACAATGGGTGGACTGAGCTTCACAACCACAGATGTTGGCAATATTTTAGCTATCTCAGGTTTGAAACGTTTTTCTTCTTCAAAGTCGTTCCTGTTAAATGTCCACACAATCGGTTTTTTTAGTAACACGAGAATTATTTTGTATCTTTATCCTCTATCTTACATCCAGTAAAATAATTTCCTTAGACAAATAGCCCTTGAAAATCTATTCAATATCGGATTTCATATTGATTCAACTTCATATGCATTCGACTTGCCTTCAATTACCTTCAACCAGCATAGGATTGGACTGGATGGCCCTAAGTTTCTTGAGCCTGCTTTCAAGTAGGTTGCAGTATGTCTAATTCTCAGGTGATAGGAAAATTCTGCTGATGGAGCTATTTTCTTCCATTTTGAAAGGTCTGGCCGTGCTTATTTTCCAACTTCTCGCGTTTCCTCCAATTGCGAAGCGAATGGGGCCTATCAGTACGACTCGGATCTCAGCTGTAAGGAGGCGTTCCTATATCCTAAGCTACTCGTCAGCTGAGAACCTTGATCTTTGACGCATCAGGAATTTCGGGCTTGGTTTTTAACTTTGCAAAAATTCTTCATGAGAAACTATAGTGCTTTAATCATTTTCGAAGTACACTCTCCTGAAGACTTTGTTTCAATTGCAGATTCTTGCCTTGCCGTTGCTGTGCACTTACCCCTTTCTCACCAAGCTTTACGGGACTCTTCTTTGGAGTCTCCTTGTATTCGTCTCCGTATCGAAAAGCACCTTGGCGGTGAGTAAATAACTCTCTTGAAGGCATCCAAGTTTATTTTCTTCAGAGAAGGGGACATAAGTCAGGTATTTCTGCCAAGTCTGTAAATCGAAGTAAAATCCGTGACTGATCAGCCTTCCATGTTTAGAATTAATTAATAGTGATGTATCTTCATACTGAGACCTAAAGAGAAGTTTAGGTTGTTCAAATCGTGAATCAAGAACAAATCTAGCCTTAGCTTGTTATTATAATACATTTTTTTATACTCACAGGATCGCGCAGTGAGTAAATGTTTCAATATAACCTGTCGGCCTTATGTATGTAGCCCTCACCTACTCTTGACATATGTATTGCAGGTTGCAACACTCAGTGGATCATTCTTGCTCATAAACAACTCAGTGGTGAGTACCTCGCTTTCCCACCTTGAACGCTCTTACACAAAATCATCTTCGCACTTTGACTTTACTGCGTTATTGCCTAATTATTGATTTTTATATGTATTGTCGTTTACAACTGTCAATAAGGTCTGAACTTGATGCGACATTATTAATGCTTTTGTCTAGTCAAAGTTTTCCTGGTTGCAAGATTTCGAAATCCTTCGTAACTTCGAACATCGCATTTTTAAATATGCGAACTTGTGTGTTAGTAGTTTTTTTGAAAGGAAGGTTTTTTTATCGTCCTTGTTCATATATGACAGACCCCACGGCAAAGAGGGAGGGCGAACGGGCTGTCAGTGAGTGCAGTTTCTCTCTTCAAAGCAATTGGTCCGGGGGCCGGAGGTGCAATGTAAGTTATGGATTCGAATGAAACCCAGTTTCATATTTAAATCTTTCCATGGCTGAATATCTTTTGCTTGTCTACCGGGCCCACCTATTGTACCGAACTACAGTAGCTCGTTAACATCGAGAGACAAGATGTGGATACAATGGACTTGAAAATGCAAAGAAACCTAAATTCTTTTGTTTAATCTGTTTATGTGAGGCTTACCCACTGAGGTAAGATCAACGATTTAGGAGAAGATTGCTATTCTTAGATTTCATAATTGTATTGGTCATCAATATTCATCGTTTAATATGAGAAGTACTAGATAAATATATAACTGAGTATATTGATTTGAATTTTATCTATTATATAGCACATCTTAGACAGAGTAAGTCATCTTCATTCATTTAATATCTTTAACGTGTGCATTGTGACTATGACAGATTTGCATGGGGACAGAGCAGACCAGATGCCTGGTTCTTGCCAGGTAAGTAAACTGTGCTAATGTCAAATGCTGAGTGTGCTGGTTACGTTGTCTTGGTAATGCGTTACAACAACAAGTTTGCTTTGTCTACCACTATTTCTCATATTTATGGACACAATTTAAGGCGGAAGTTTATCACCGAAGATTGAATAGATTTTGTCAACAAGTCCACAAGTCAATGCTGCTAGCTCCGTCAATACTTGTGAATTTTAAAAGAAATTTTCTGTCGGTGTACAATGACATTAGTCAAATTTGCTCTAACTCTTCGTCTTTTTTCCTTCTTCAGGCAATCAGTTGGTCTTCTTCATCCTTGGAAGTGTAGTGGTGGTGGATATAATTTTGACATTCGAACCGTTTCTTCCAAAGAGTGTGGATAGACCGAAGCATGACCAGGATGAGCACGTTCACCTTTCAACGGATAAGGAAGTTAAGTGAAGAGCTCATAGAAGCGACATATTTCTCAAGTCATGTGAGGTTCGCCAGGAAAGCTATGTGTTTTCGTCTCCATTCACCATCTGCCCCAGTATTTGACATGTTGGTGGGCACGTACGGGCAAGCGTATTCACCGTATGCAAGTAAAGGAGGAAGAGAAGCTTTATAGAACTACAAAGTTTTGTAACCTCAAGACCTCCGGAAGAAACGTCAAAAGGAGGCCACTTGATAGATCAGCATCTTGAGAGCCATCGGAAGATTAGGGAAGAATCCATAAGTGCTACTGTTGACCGTGTGCTACATGCTCGCACATCTCCGTATGTCGAGTTACAGTCAAGCAAATTCAATAGCGGTAAGAGTCAACAAGAGATAATGTTACAATCAGAAATGAGGGGGGAGTGTTCAATAAAGAAATTTCAACTATGAAGATTGAGGAGTCTTTTCTTATGTGCTTTTTTGTTGGTTTCCATGTCATTTTAGTCCTGTGTGTTTTGAGAATTCATCATGATAGGTGGATTAAAGTGTATTAACAATTGAAATGTGAATGGTGATATGATATATGTGTCAAGTATATGAATGGGTCTTGTATGTCTTGTATATACATATATCATATCAATAGGTCTTGTATTCTTTTGCACATATTCTACTTCAACGAATATAACCTTATCTTGCACATAAATATTAGCTAAGATAACTACTACGTAAGACTTGATGCTAACTTTCATAGCAAAATTTGATTGTAGTTCACTTTCCTGAATTGATTTGAGGAAAAATAATTAAACCATCTCATGAACTGATGTATGTAGCATGATGGTTTCTTCTTGCTTTTCATCAAAACTTATGTTATTTTCCTAGAGGAAAATCTGTCAAAAATCCAGAAGATTATTTTATTCCTTGACCAAGAAGAAGATTTTGATGTGAGATTCAGCATTTTTTACTCCAATTTACTTCAAAAATTTGGCTACTGTTGCTTCATGATGGAATTTAACATCTTGACAAAAATTGAAGTACTGTTATTTTTAAAACGACTCTAATCTTCATACATATTGCTTTCTTTTATGATATGCAAGGCCAAAGTAAACTTTGTCCACGAATCTTGACCTTGTTTGTCCAAGGGTGTTAATGCTCTAGTAAAGATATCAAGCCTAGTTTTCTCACAAATCAAACAAGTGACAAACATCTTAATGACAAAAGTAGATGTATGTCTTATTTAAACTCATTTTGATGATTAGCAGATCTATGCAAAGCATTTGATTTGCTTGCAGAATATGGGATCATTTCCTCTTTACTTTTTCCATTCCAAATGTCTTTACAAAATATATGTTTTTTTCTTCAATATATATTCTCTCTATCAATTATTGGATAAGAATTCTTAAAATAGAGAATAAAACTTTAGTTTCATATATTTCATGTACTTTTCTAACATTTATATATCTTTTGGTTATTCTTCATTTCATGAGTATTAGAAAAAATCAAATCTAAATCTTGAATACTTGATTTATTGAAAAATCTTGATTTCCCAACAATTTGACATTTTATATTTCATAAAATTGAAAATTCAACCAGCACTGCAGATTATTAACTTAATTTAGAAATAAATTAACTTAAATGTTTTTACTTATGTTTCTGTAACGTAACACAGAAAATTAAATAAGATCTCCTATTAAAAATATAAAATGGATAGTATGATTTCAAACATATCAGTTAACACTCATCATTCAACAATTATTTTGAACTTTGACATGTTTTTAGAAATAATATTTTGAATTTAAAATATAAGTCATTGATATTTTTATTTATTTATATAAAAAATTAATTTATTCAAATCAATTCAGTAACCGTTGGTAAATTTGTCAAATAAATTCTAGATTTTTTTTACTTTAAAAGAAAGACTTTGAAAGCCAGTATTAACCTTGACAAGAAAGTAAGTTCAATGAATGTAAATTTAAGTTCAATTTTTACCTTATCAAGAGTTATAACACATTGTGAATTTTTGTCATCTTTCACATCTTCAACTATTCACAATTTTTTTTAACGAAATTCAAAGTTTGTATGATTTGTATTCTTTCTAGTTTTTGTTGATTTGGCTTTTTGTTTTCTGAAAAACCAAGATTTGAATTTGAATTTCTTTAAGAAAATATTCTTAGTAAGAACTAAATTGAAATACTTAACATAAAATTTTTTTAATATGAAAATTGTTTTCAATGAATCAAATAAAAACTTCATTGTCATAAATTTGTATGCTATGAATTCAAAAACGGAATATATTGTCATTTTTTCATATAAATTTTAATGAATGGTGAGAATAAGACATGTAATTTAGTCATTTTTGTAGGTTTTATTTTTTAAAATTATTTGCTACTTGAATGATATTTTTGATTCAATATTATGATACTTTTTTGATTCAAATTGAATTGTTTTCTCAATTTATCTAGTGTTGGGGTATTTAACCCTGGGGTTTGTGTGTGACACTGTACCTTGTGAACTTTCCTGTTGTGGACGTAGCTCCATGAGTAGTTAACCACATTACAGCTTGTGTCCATCTTCTGTTGAATCTTTTATGGTGTTTACTTTGGATGGTTTCTGTCATGTATGACTCTCGTATTACTTTGTTATTATACATTTATAAATCCACTTTTGATTTACAGATAGTTTTTAAAAGTTTTTAATAATTTTACCCTAATTCTGAATATGTGTTTATTAAATATATTTCATTGATTCTCTAAATAAAATTTTCATCATTTGAAAATAGTATCAATATATTGGTCAAATCAAAAGCTAAAAATATTTATTGTACATTTAAAATTTGTTTTCAAATCTGACATCGTTACATGCAGATAATTCGTGTATTTACATATGCATATGACATATTTAATATCGTATCACTTTTTAATTACATCATCGTTTTTTTTAAATAGAAATATTTTAAAGATGAAATATTATAACTTTGACATTTTTCATAGCACCAAGATAAATGGTGAAAATGCATTTAGCTGCAACTAGAACTTTTATTTTCAAAGTCAATAAAAATAATTTGAAAATCAATTTTTTTTTCAATGATATCGAAACATTATTTAGTAAATAAATGATTATAACTTTGACACATTCTAATATTAAACATCCATTACATGGTGTATACTTGAATCATTGTGAACAAATGTCCAATAAAAAGATAACAAGAATCCAATAATTTTCAAATTATTGGAGTTTAGCAGCAAAATTTTATTCCAAATTTTACTTTTAAGAAAAATAATTAATTTAAATGAACATGAAGTTCATTGTAATGTAAAAGTGTTAGAGCACATTTCAAACCATCTTTCAAACAAATAGATACATGTTATAACTGAAATTTTTTTCACAATCACAATCTGAGCATCGATTGTGATTTTGAAATTCTTATCATTAGATTTGCTAAAATTTGTGTCAATCAAATGCATAATTAAATATAAGCAAAACTGCAAATATAAAATATTTATAATCAGTTTTTATGCTTCAATTGTGTATATTATTGCATTTTAATTATGAACAAAGCAAGCATGTAAATGAAAAATATAATGTAAAAATTTAAAAATGATGTGTCCATTACATTTAGTTAATTTCCACTGTATATATATTGGAAATTAACTAAATTTCACTTATGATGACTAGACAATCACAGTTCAGTTCAAACATCAGATCAGTATACAAAACGCATTTGTTTGTGATTTCGGAATATTGAAGAAAACATATTTTGTACATCAAATTTAATGTTTTTATTCATTATATAGTTGACCGATTCATCCAGTTACAACTTCATGCGTTATAAATGCTTTGTTTCTTTATCGTCTCAATGATAGCAGGGCATTAGTGTAGCTCGCTCACAAGACGCAAGCATACAGAAGCACGAAAGAAGAAGCAGAATGAAGCAGAATCACGCAATTGTCGAGTGAATGACGATCACTGCAAGCGTGACTCTTCTCGGCTTGCCGTGTTTGTCAAGCACTCGACTTACGGATTTGCAGAGTTTATGTGTCATCAATTCCGTGCTTTTCTTTTATATCAAAATTTTACTGTTGCAAATGCTGGAAGTGACTCCTCGGAGCGTGTGACAGTTGACAGGAAATATGAATTTCAAGGAAGATGATTCTGTGCCTTCCTGGGAATGGCTGAAGTGACGGTGAAGAAGGGTAAAATGTGGTGAAGTATGTGTGTTCTCAGAAGCAGTAAAGTCTACTGCAATATTGAGGAATTCGTTTACTTGGTAGGCTTAGGGAGCCTTGTCATGCCCAATGACGATAGAATCATGTCGATTGACGATTGCAGGATTCTGTTAAGCCGCCTATCAAGCTTTTGTTATCTGGAACGACTAGGTTACATTGTGGGTCGATTTTATGTTTTCTGGACAACTTCTCGTAAGCAAGAGAAATTTCCATCTTTCAAGTCAGTTTTCGATATGGACTTGCCATCAAAAATCAATGAAATCTTGTTGCTTTCAAGTTCTTCAGAGAGCCTTGTCAAGTTGATCTGGAGAGAAGTGCAATTTCCAATATCTGAATGGATGGATGAGGTCGGCTCCGACTTAATGCCGACGAGGAGAGGCACAGAAAGTTCCAAGAACAACTACCCAGATCGACAGGAGAAGTACGAGAATGACGCGGCTTTTCTTCCATGTGATGTCGGGAGGTCTAATCATTCTCGGGTCGATTCGCAAGCCAGTCTAGACGCCTTACATTCTCTTTCTGTTTTGAGTATAAACAATGATGAAGATCTTTGTGCTTTACTACCTATGATTGATGTATTCTTGCCAAACGGCCGACAAAAGTCGGCACCAGGCATACCAACCTTTAGGCTCTGTATCTCTAGTAATCAACCGGATTGATCTTCGTACCTTATAGCACAACTGCGGCGGAATGACGTTCAAAGATTATGTTGTTCGGTGCGGGCATATCTCCAATTTTTCTCTTGACACGGTATCTCTTTCGACTTACCGTGATCAGCTCTGTCTCAAGGCCCATGGTCTGAGATAGTGTTGTTCCGTACCTGTGGATTTCTCATTCATCGTCCAGTAATGAAGTAGAACTAGGCGGGAAGTCGGCCATTAAACTTCGAGTTGATGCAGCCCAGCAAGTAGCCAGGTCCTCTCTTTGAATCTTGCGAACGTTGTGGAGATGCAACATGTCATGTTTCTGCTCACTGTTCAGAAAGAAGGCCTCGAATGACCTCAAAAAACAGGTACTTTGTTTATTTAATTACTGTTAGAAGAGCCGTGATTTCTTTGAAAATTACATGCCTTCTGTGCTTACAACTCTCTTTCTTCGCATTTCTGAAACTGACGTGTGAATTCAGCCTTCGAAGTTACTCTCGTTGAGTGGTACGATACTTGATACATTATTTGGCCATGCCTTATGATGGAATATCGTCGAAGATGGATAACAACATCAAACAAACTTCTCTAGAGTTGTAGGTTTATGTTCAGTATTCAGCCACTTTGCTTTCTCGAAGTGTTGAAGTCACCATTCGTCTTCTGGTAGAGGATGCCTTGTCCACACTCAACTGTCGAACGAGGCGTTCCGCCTTTATTTCGTCAGGAAAAGCTGTATCAGAAAACTAACCCAGATTTCACTTGCGATGTTTCTTTGTTGAACATATAACATTCAAGAAGTCTAAGGATATTTTAGACGGCTTCAAAGCTTTAGGCAGAAACTTGATGACGAGCATACGTTGGGTGCAACGTTTCTGGCTCGACCCGCATGGTGGTCTTCGTAGGAAGACATGCTTGGATCTGGTGTGTTTGGTTATTACCATGCCGTGTTCTTTGAATGGAAGCGCTTACATAAAGCTACTACCACCAAATCGCTTACATAAAGCGCTTACCCTCTCACGACCCGCTGTCGGTCTTTACGTATCATCTCTTTGATTATTTGCGTGCAATGCTTGTCCTTTTTTTGCATGAAATGTTGTTTTCGGTCTTGACTGTCTTCTTTCTGCCACCCTTGCTTACGGTTCTTTCTTCACTGTCCTTGTCTATTTAGTTCACATGTCGTCTTCCAAGTATCCTTGAATGTTCCCAGGATGTCCTGGTGATTTGCAGAAGTAACATGGTTCAGACAATTCGCTTGACGTTTTCTTCACGCATAACTCTTTATTGAATGGTTACAATCCTTTCAGCCCATCATCAACTCAAGGAGATCGTCATAACCTGTTGTAGAGTTTTGCTTGAGACTATGACATCAGGTAGCAATGATCGTAATATTGGGGGTGATCTCACAGCAGAGAACTTACATGAACTTATATGTCTCATTCTTTGAATGGAATCTCTTATGAGTTTCAAGAATTTTAGATGTCGTGCTCACCCCATGTGGTCTACAAGGTCTCAGCATTGAATTTGTTGAAGAGTGCCCATTGATTGCCCCTCGCGTAAACTGATGTTTGCACTTATCAGTCATCGTGTGCAGGTTATATCAGGCTGTACGAAGTAAGGAGAAGATACTGTTGACTCTCATCCGAGTGCAACACCTTGGGAGTAGCCTAGCTTGCAGCACAGATTTACTCCTCTTTTTTTATGCCGATCATTCTATTTTCATCCCAACATGCCTCGATTTGTCTCAATTGTTCAGGTATCGCATTCATCTAAAACCTTTAGATTGCAATTGACCTAGATAGAGATTGCAAAGCGTTCAGCACCTCGATTGTGGAAACCTATTGGATTATCAGAGGAATGCATTCGCACGACTGCATTACACCTGATTATTGTACGACACAGAAGATGAACACTGAGAGTTCACCAGAAAAATACAATCTTTACCAGGGCATACATGTTATCACTGTGGAGCTATGCATTTTAACTTCTTTTCTACTTTCTTGGTAACTCTGAGAAAATTTTGAAAATATGAGTTTGTTTAGAATCATGAACTTACATGGGACTGAAGTCAATCGATCACTTACCCATGGTTAGCTATGCGATTGCATTGCAATAATAGGGGATCTGCTCTCACAGAGTTGTGCATAGCGACTACTGGAACCAAGAGTAAATCACACTAATTGCTTATTGGTGTAGGAAATCCATGTATTTCTAAACGTTTTTTAAACTCCTAAGGTATCTCACTCGTAGGATGTGAATGAATTCAGAAATATGAATTAAGGAAAATGAGGTCGGGGAGTACCAAGAGAGATAAATAACTCAAAGTTCATGCAAGGAACGGAGTACATTCAAAAAGTTTTTTGGAAATAAATACTCTTTGAGAAATCAGGGTGAAATTATTATTTTTAAGTCTCAGACGAAATAAAAGTTTATGAAAACCTTCCGAACTACCGTTGTAAAAGCAAAATTCACGTAAAATTGCAGAAAACACTCCCACGAAAGCGGAAATTGACTCTTATTACAGTTAGAAAAATCCACCAAATCCATGTCTAGGTTTTTTCGCTATCCGAAATTTTTTTAGATAGTACCGTACAGAATGCATATTTACTTGGTCAAGTACCTAGCTTGTGTTTTGGTTTGTTAGAAAGATGTTATGAACAAAAGTTGAAATTAAACAATCACGTGACATTTGATAATTTACTTGAAATGTGATTTGATAATTTTGTGATTATTACACTAAAATTTGAAAATTTGAAAATTGTGATTATTACACTAATTTTCAAACAGAAATATAGGTTATATATTTTCTAATAAATTTTCTTCTGAACAATTATTTGATTGGAATCTTTTTCACGGGATGAAAGCAAATAATATTGCTAAATGATTTTTCATATTCCACTGGTCAAATTATAACTAATGTTTTTTCCATTACATTCTCCATGCAATAAAAAATCAGAATTTTCATGACATGAACTTATGGGACATCTGTTTCTGATCAAAATTATTGTGATTTTCTTCAAGTCTTTCAACATTTTTTCTCATTAAGTCAATGTTAATTTATCTCATAAAAAATATATTTATCTTCTTTGTTGAAATCTGGAATAATATTTTATCTGTAAAATCTATCCAACTACATTTTTTTTATTTTTGTATTAATTTTTTTTACTACAAAATGTATATAACAAAAATTTTCAAACAAATCTGTCTGTGCACCATAATAGTTGGCAACTTATAATATGTATGTACATACATGAACATACATATAAGAAAAAATCCATTTTCTAATCTCAATTATGAGATGCATTTTTTATAACTAATGTATGCAATAACAATTCAAATAAATTACAGATTTTACATTCTAAGGTTTTATAATAAAATCATATAATCTCTAAATGTTATTATCTAAAAGAAATTGTTTTTTTACACAATATTCTTGTAATTTCAAAAGTCTTATATCATACATTCTTGCTTTAAAATAAAAATTATCAAGTTAAAAAATAATGAATCATAAAGAAATAGCTTTCCAAAAATAATTATATCTAAAATAGAAAATATTGCTTATTTTAGGCTGCAAAAAAACAACAAAAAATTACTTATAATTATAAATGATTCTTCCATATTTCAATTTTAAATGAATTAGATTTTTTTTGAACTAAAATATAATTTTTTTTCCAAAATAATCATAAATCAAGTGCAATATTCATCTAAAAATTAGTGAAAGCTAGACATATGAATAATGAAAAAAATATATCATTCTTATTGAATATATGAGTTTTATTATCAATGATGATTATTGTGTAAATTTTTAATAATCAATCTGTTGAAATTTATTTTCAACATAATTCTGAATGCTAGGGATAAGATTCAAGAAATTAGATATTTAGAATGTGTGAGAATTATGCCCTAAAATAATTTTCAAATAATTTTTTTTAGATATATAAGATATATTATATCAAATTTTTGAATTATTTGATACAAAATAAATGTAAATAATTTTGTTTCGAATTTTATGATCAATTTTCATATTTTGAAATATAATTGAATCTACGTTTTTTTAAAAAAAATTCTATAGATTTTCTAAAATTTTCCCAAAAAATTATTTGATGCAAAAAATCTCAAATTCTATCTGTGGTTTACATATATTAGTGGTCTTCATAAATTTAAATTATGAAATATATACTTAAGTAATCTTTTAAGTCTTGCTGATTGATTGACTAGATAAGAGATTATAAAAAAACTTACTATCTTAATATATATTAAATATTTAAATATTTTTATTTTGAAAATAAATTTAAATAAATTTTATCAAAGTAATAAAATATTAAATAATTTTTTTTTTCATCTTCATGATTAATCAAAATTGATTATAAAAAATAAATTTTGTAGTTTGATGATCTAGTTAAAATTTATTTAAAACGTAGATTTGAAATGGTGTAAAATAAAAAAAATATGGAAAAAATTATAAATAAAAAATAAAAAAATTCTTATAACAAGAAATAATCATCTATAAAAAATTATTTCTATTCAATGTTTAAAAAAATTGTAGACCATTTGTTATTTATATATTAGTTTGTAACTTTGATGTATCTCAAGTAAGTGTTCAAATCTACTTCTCCGATTATGTTTCCAAGATGTTTTTGTCACAAACATACATACAAAGCACAAACTTCCAATAGTGATAGTAATTTGTGCTAGGAATGGATGTCAATCTTGGGAGTTGTTACTCACGAGAATAAAGTGAGTAGCGATTTTGGTGTAGGATACATCCGATTCCATACTATTTTGTAAATGTGATGTTTGATTGCAAGATGACTTCATTTGCTTATATATATTGTTGAGTACAATCAATGTTTACGTTATTGCATTTGAATATAGAAAACTGCACACATGTGTGTTAATGGAAAAAAGCTTAAGCGTTTGAAGTTCAACATGAACTTGGCAATTTTTAATTTCTTAGTCAATCTAAAACCATACATGAACAATCATTGTTTGAATTTTTGGTTGCACGTTCACATATTTCAAGTGTATCGTTGGAGAGATATGTTATCAAGCCGTTGGTATTGAAATTGAATCCAGATAGACTTTCTATATCAACTCAAATACAATTTTTTTACGAACATGATGCATCGAGTACATATGCGAGATAATTACATTAAACTTGATTGGTGAGATATTCAAGAATTAAAGTTTCTTTTTAAAGAAGATTTTGCATAACTTTGTAAAATGTTTGAAACCGTCATATGTAGATTCTCTTCAAACATTTATCCTGTTAAATGGATGGCTGAGGATTTTTTTGAAGTGTGTTTCAGCATATAACAAGAATAGATGCAAAACACATATTAACTTTAATCTCATGCATGTGAAAATATATTTGCATGAATTTAGCAAACATTTTTCCACATTCATGAAATTTACAAAATGTTAATGGATATATCACTCAAATGCATTTTCAACAATGATGATGAGTAGGTTGTACAACATCATCAAGATCATATTACACAATCAATTTGGATGCTCGTGGTGTGAAGATCAAATTACAATGATCATCAAAGTGAGTGTCAAAGGTGAAAAATTTATCACGCTAAAACAGTGTACAGTATGATATGCAACAAAGTATTTTGCCTCAAATGAAAGAGTGAATTGTTGAATAATGAATAAATACATGTCACATTACACTTTCTCATAGTTTTTTATTGTAATTATGATAATAATTGTAACTCCAAAATTACACTTGCAATATCATTGTTGGTAATTTAAGTATTGTGTCACAATTAACATAGTCACGGAAGCTTATTATTGGGCAGATTTATTGGTTACAAAGTAATGATTTGGAATTTATGTCATTAATGGGTGGTGTCACTATTGGGAGGTTATAATCAGTAGCTCTATTTGACTAGATTTAAGTGTAATATAGTTTGTGATGTGCTGCTCAATACATATCAAGAATCAAAATGACATTGGAAATGCTAGTGAGATTTTGAAGCTTGCACAACTTAAACGTGTTGAGCATTTTCACCAACTGACTCTTCCTCATCATTGAGAAGCACTAGTTTAATCATCTCCTCGTCGCAGACATATTTTCTCCTTGGTGGGTTTGAGGATATAATCCAAGTAAGTTGGATTGGCCGGAGGAAGTTGGTGAAGGTTTTAGTCCAGACTACTCTTTGAAGTAAACTAATTACACGACGAGTGCTGGAATGCCCATGCATCCTCAACCAATATGGATGAGATTGCATCATTGGGTGATCAAGTCTAAAAGCACAAGAAATGGCCGAATCAGCTGCAAACTCGGGGTACTTTTAGACTACTTGGAAAGTAACCAGCTAATTTGAGTATGTAGAAACATCCTACATATAAATTGAATGAGCTATACAAACATGAAACCAAAATAAGCTCCTTATGATGTGACTGGCCATATTTGTGCCTAGAAACCAGACCTTGAGGGCGTTCAAATTGGGAGTTATATCACAACGGTGATAATTTAAAAGTGCTGGTTGGTAAGAATCGAAAGCACGACTGTAATCCAATCGGTTATTTCAAAACCGGGGACACGCGGAGGGTAACTGTAGGTTAAACGAGAAGTATAGTCCGGCCGGCATTATAGTCCTTGGCACTGACGTCACACCTATCCCAAACGGTCAATCTCTAGGCGTTCTTTAACCGTTAGATCAGCTACCTTGTCAGAGCCCCGATTTGTGGGATATATCTGTCGGTCAAATTTCATGCCCGGGGGCCTTTTTGAGCACTCCGCTCATCGATGGTGACAGTATTTCGTATACGGAGAGCGACGTCGTTCGAAAAGAGAGGCGAATCATTTGTGCGATCTTGGGGATCCTGAGGGTTCTTTGACGATTCCCGGCTTCTAGAGATTGACCTAAACGCCACGCCATTGATTAAGTCACACGAAGAACCATACAGACCTGCGGCATCACGCGCGCTGGTGCCGACTGCGCTGCGGTCCTGCGTTCCTGCTGTGAACGAGGGCGAGGGCGAGGGGCAGCGCAAATTGATGCCGAAAATATTAACCGCGGTCGATGGCTCTCGCTCCGGAATGTTGCGAATAAAGAAGAAAAGAATCCCGCAGAGTCGAAACGCCTCGGTGATTTCGGTGCAGTCTGGGGCGATCGACAGCGCGAAACTGCGAACGGCTCGGGAAATTCGCGATGCATTATTACGGCTGGAGGATCATTGGGGAGCCCGGGGCTGCGACCGCCGTTCATGGTGGTAGATTAGGAATATTTATGAATAATAATAGTAAGCTCTATTATTTAAGAGCAAATGATCGACTCGCACTTTAAAAGGCGAGTATTTGAATCGGGGTCCAATAATTTACCTCCCCCCGCACTCCCTCCCCTCCGCTCCCCGTCCGTCTCTGTCGCTGTCGCCGTCCTCGAGCAGAGCCTGGGAGGAGGAAGAGGCCGAGGCGAGCGACGCAGCCCGGGAAGCCGAGCGATGCGCGATCGGAGCGCTGTCATAATGCAGGATTCGGTGACGATAATTAGGGAAATGGATACGGGGGCGTCGCCCTGTCTGAAAGAGCATTCTGGCGACTCTGGGCTGGAGCGAATGCTGCCGTGCTGCTGCGTCTCTCTGTCGCTTTGTCCGCTGTCCGAGCCGAGGAAGAAGAGGGAGAAGAGGGCGGGGGGCCCCTGGCTGCCCTTCCCTGCCCTGCCCTGTTGTGCGCTGCCCTGCGCTGCCCTGCCCGCTCGGCCCAACCCAGCCCAGGCAAGGCCAGGCCAAGCCACCCAACCCAAGCCAGGCCAGACCGCAGTGTGGCTCTTGCTGGAGTGGAGATAGAAGATTGGGAACGGAGGGAGAAAGAGTGCGGAGTACTGCTGTCTGTGTTTATTCTGCTGTTGTTGCGCTGTGCCTGGTGAGAGTGAGAGAGAGGAGGAGGAGGAGGGAGAGGGAGAGAGCGCGAGGCTCTGGTGGTGTAGAGAGGAAAGGAGTGCCTGCTGGCGGGGAATTACGACGAGCTTTTTGCGACATAGCTAAATCGAAGGAGGGTAGAGGCGGCGAGAACTCACAGACATTGAAGCGGAGTAGCTCTCTGGTTGGCAGGGGGCTTTTACTTGGGGAGAGAGAGAGTGAGAGCGAGAGCGAGTGAGAAGAGGCAGAGAGGGAGGGAGGAGGGAGAGAGGGCGGGCGGGAGAGAGAGACAGTGAGAAGGAGGGAGGGAGGGAGAGGGAGGGAAGTATGGGGAAGTAGAAGAGAGTAGGAGTATATTTCGGAGCAGACTGCCGGTCTCCTTTTTTTGGACATTGGAGAGAAGAGAGGAACTGGTAAAGTGTGGACAGGAGAGAGGAGTAGTGTTTCTCTTTGACGGCACTGCCGCTGCTTCGTCATTTTGGTGGCAACGGGGGCTTTGATTGTCTGTGACTTCTCCGTTTCAGACACCAGCCTGTCTTGTGTATGGTCTTTCTATTCTCTCGCGGGCGCTGTATCGTTCCTGTCTCCTCTCTTGTCTCTCGCTTTCGCGCTTGTCGGTCTAACCTCTCGGCCTTCCATCCTCGCCTCCATCGCTGCTGTATCCAGAGTTCACAAGCGCAGTGTCACTTGGTTCGCCCGACGTTAATCCCTGCTTTCTTCTCGTCTGTACTCTCTCTCTTCTTTCTCGCTCGCTGCTATCTGTACACAAGGTGTGAGCTCTCCCCCACCCGCCCCGCCCCTCCCCTCCACTCCCCCTCTCCCCACTCTCACCCCCCGTCCCCTCGTTCACGCACTCCAAACCTGGTGCCTTCGTTGCTTCGTTGGCTCTTTCGCTCTCGCTGTCGGGTACCATTTGGACCTCTATAGTTTTCTTTCTTACTCTACATCCGCAGCGTTGAACGGTTTTGCGTTTTCACTCCTCGTGAGTCGTCGAGGTCCTTTGCTCGTGCCCTGTCTTTAAGGACGTTCTCTTCTAGGGTTCTGCTGTCACCTCCTGCACTTTTGTCGCCTTGTTGTTCGGTTCGAGTCCTTCGAGTCTGTTGCATAGAGGATTTTCCCTCTAGCCAGAGCTGTCAACTCTGGAGGGGGACGAGAAAAAGTATTTCGCAGGTTGAAGGCTAAATTTGTGCAGACGAAGACTGCCTAGGGTTATCTGTGTCACCAGAGCTGCTGTAGAGTCTGGTCTCACTCCTCACATGTTCTTGCTGGAAGGCGGGTGTCAAAGAAAGACTCGTGATATTTTGAAGATGCTTTATATCTGTCATCTGAATTTGTTGAAGGACAATTAGAGGCCGGACAATATGAGAGTAGTGATAGTAGGAATTACAATATGAAAGCGGAGATAGTAGGAGGAGGTAAGCTCACTAAAGATAAGGACTAGGGACACTGGGTTCACAACACATCAGCAATTTCGTGTAATGTAGAAGCAGTTCTGAGTTAGCGGATATCTCACAGAACTGCTTCGGAGATAGACTTCCAAGGCTTCAAAGAAACAGAGGTACTGAGGCGTGTCAGCTTGCTTGAATATGTTCAGTTCCCAGACGCCACTGCCACCTCTGGCCCGACAACCTCAGACCCCTCTATTTCACGCGTTGCCTGCACCCGGACATGCTTCCTCTCGGGAGGAGGATGAGGAGGAAGAAGCCCCCTATCATCCCGATCCTCTTCCCCCGCCGCAACCAGAACCACTGCGGGAGAGAATACCTCCTTCTCCTGCACGTGAGGAGACCATGTCTCCCGTGGAACGGCTCGAGGTCCCTCCTCCTGTCGCTCCATCTCACTCAATGTCTACCGTCTTAGCTCTTGCAGCCCAACCTCCTATATCTCCCGACCTTAAGGTCACGGAGAACGGAAATTCAGGAGCGACTGGAGAGGCCGATGCCGACGCCGAGGAGGACAAGAAGCGCGAGAGGGAGCACAAGAAGAGGTCTAAGAACTGGACTCGACCGGAGACTCTGAAACTCATCAGACTGAGAACAGATTTAGAACCAAGATTTGCCAAGAGTGGAAGGAAAACGGAGCTCTGGGACGAGATTGCCGAAGCACTTCAGCGAGAGAGAATTACTCGGGACGCTCAACAATGCCGAGACAAATGGGAGAAGCTCACAGCAGGATACAAGGAAGTTCGAGATGGTGTTAAGGACAGGGAAGACAATCCATTCTATGATGAACTTCATCCGTTGCTCTCAGGGAAGTCTTTGAAGCGGGAGCGAGAAAGAGATAAGGATACTTTTGGAAGCGGCAAAGAAGGTGCTGGGCGAGACTACTCGAAAGAGTTGAGTCGAGAGCTGGTAGTGGATGGTTTTACCAGAGATATTGATAAAGACGGTCTGTATAGGGGTGGAGCCAGAGGAAGAGAAACGTTCAAAGACGACGATGACGACGGGGACGAGGCGGAGGCCAGAGCTCCGTCAAGAAAGAAGAAAAGGGGCCCGAAGTACATCACCGTGACTGACCTCGCTGCTGTGCAAAGTTTGTTAGAGGCAGTGATATCGCGGCAACAACGGTTTTTTAGAGATCTTCTGGACTCCATGGAGAGGAAAGAACAGTTACGGGAACAAATTCGTCAGGAGAAAGAGGACAAGTGGCGAGCTGAAGAACGAGCTCAACGGGGCATTTTCAACAATGCGATGATAGTTCTCACTCAGAAACTAGTTGGCGACCGTGTTAGTGCGGTCGTACCTGGTGTTGCTGGGCCATTGGTAGTAGGGAGTCCGGAGGGTCCTCAAGGTCCGAAGAGAAGGTCCAAGAACTGGAAAAGAGCTGAGGTCCTTCAGCTTATCAAGTTACGGGGGGAGATGGACAGTCGATTTGTAAAGTCTACAAGAAGAGCCGCACTTTGGGAAGAGCTTGCGGAGCTGCTGGCCGCGCAAGGTATCAAAAGGGACGGCAAACAATGTCGAGAGAAGTGGGACAAGCTAATGGCCGAGTACAAAGACGTTGCCGATGGTAAACGGGACCAGGGTGAGAGTCCTTACTTTGCTGAGTTGACTGCAATCATAGGGCGGCCACCGGAGGCTGCTTAAGCCATTGCTCAAATACAACCCAAGCTGCGAAGAAGGGAAGCAGGGAATGAGGAGGTAGCGAGAAAAATCCGAGCTTGAGGGGAAGTGGTGGAGATGTTGGATTGTTCCGCACGTTATCGGCATGGGGGTAGTGTCACGTAGTTAGCTAGAAAGTAGAGAGAAGAATGGCTTGGAGGACTCTGTACAAGATGAAGGTGATCTCGTGAGTCCTCCATTTATGAGTAAATGAGTGTGTTAAGTGGTGACCACTTGTATAGAAGGTGGAATGCTTTGGAACGTCACACGAGCGAAAGCGTCAGCTTACAGTGGAACTGGTAAGCGTTCTGCTCCTGCCGCTAGCAACTTCATTTCATGTGTATGCGTGATGGATAGCGGCACGTGTGACATCTGTTCCAAAATCTCAACGAAGTAGATTAGCGTGATTAGATGTTGGCCTTAAGCTCAATCTGTGCATGTAGTAGACTTATGCCCACTCTCAAGTGAAACTAAGAGTTTGAAGCTTCCCAGAAGCTGTGTGTTACATACGTTATAGACTCATTTACAAGTTGTCGTATTTAATCTTTATTCATTCTGAGACTGTCTGTCGCCGCATTTAGGACTGAGTACGTCAAAGAAACGATTGTACCTGTCGAGGGTGACTGGTTTATGTTTGTATCATGTTTATGTCATGTTAATGCTGGTATCATGTTTAGGTCATGTTAAACTCACAGATGGGCTGATGAGTATAAGTGCTACATGTAAGGAGGTGTTTTCCAAATGTTTTGGTACTTCAGGTATCATGTTGAAAATGTAGGGCTAAATCAAGAGTGTTTGTAAGATGTCCAAAGTTTGTCGCTCTTCATGAATCCTTTATCTTGCGCCAGTGGCGTCCAGTCTTTGCAATGTTTTCCTTATCTTTTTGACGTCTTCTCCTTAAAAATTCATGCAAGTTTGGATGGCACCTCTACACTGATCAATGCAGACAGACAAGGCCTGTTGAGGATATCAGTCATGATTGATATCTTCAATAATAAATTCCAACTATGTTAGCTTCCTCTTTTACATAGGCTCCTCCGTAATATTCCTAACAGGAAAATTTACTTCTTGCACATTCACTTCTACCACACTGTGGTTGGTTCAACATGATGTTTTCTTTTCCTTTCTCAAGTACCTGAATGACGGTTATGGCCGTACCGCCGTCTTAATTCTTTTTTATGTACACCTTTTCTTTGAGAAACCAGTGCATTTTGGTCGATGAACTGGCAGTATTCTTTAAAGCCTAAAGAGAAGTCATGATCGCAGTCTCAGTATTGAGATCCAGATCGCGGTAGGTAGTTGAGACTGTGAAGGGATACGTGGGCGTCTTTTTATCGTGACTGTTGAATTGCAGGGCCTGGAGGATAGCAGGAGAAATTAGAATTACGAGTAGCCCGATTTTTTCTTTCTGATGCAAGATGGTTCCTTTTACCAGCCACCTTATTCCTCACAATTATTCTGGTCAAGAAGCCACGGTTTACATTTAATCAGTGAGAGCTTTCTTTTTCTCTTCACGAGGAAGAGACTTCCTCGTGATCTTTTTTTTCCGAAATTTTCTCTTGTATAGAGTGCTGGCGGCTTTATGGATGGAAATCCTTCGTTGAAAGGTCACGCGGATTAAGTCTTATTAATTGCATTATCTCAGCTTGCTTTGTGTCGTCAACTAAAAGCTAGTGGAAGTGAGCACATGGGGAAGTTTCAATATGTTCTCAATGGTGCAAGAGACTACGTTCTGTGGGTTCCACTGCCTACTGGATGGGAAATCTTTTAACCGCGCAACCATAGGACCAACTGATACTTCTAAGTACACTAGTCATGAGGCTGTGATTGTCACCGCAAGTTAACTACTAATCCAAACACACTCTATTCACCTCGCGTACACGATGTCATCTTAGATTTGGATTGTTCAAAGTGCGTCTAATCCACGCAAACTAATCAATATTTTACCAGTGTTCATGAGTACGTTCTGTGTCCATCACTCAATCAGTAACTCGGGGCTTAACTAGGTTTTAGCTCCTAAGGATCATAAAGGAAGCCGTTCAAATTTGGTGAATGTGTCATGTACTAGTCACTATAGAATGTTGGAGCCTTTCCACCGTGGGCTTCGTCATTCTTCATCGATTGAAAATAATTAGTAGGGTTTGCCTTTGTTACGCTATTAGCATGTGAGAATTGGTATTCAGCATATTATTTAAGTTGAGGAAAAGCGCATCCTTGATTGACAGACGTGGTGTATTCAGTAGATTGATTCCTCAGGAAGTTTAACAGGAATTTATTGCATGAAGATTGCTTTCTCTTTTATGCCCTCCCGTACTTGTTTGTCTTCCGTTTGTGGTTTGCATGTACCGTTTTACGCTAAACGGGAGAACAGCAGATCACTATGCGCTACCATTAACAACTTTGACCAGTATCCTACATACTGGATAGTTGATCACTGACATTTTCCTTATTCACACGGGTTTTCATCACTGTTATTTGATTGAAAATTGAAGATCTGTACCGTACTACTTGTTTCTTGTTCACCTAGGAATACTTTTTAATAGTTTGCAGGCAGTTTTCTCTGTATTTGTACGAAGTTATTGCACAATTGATTTAAGGTATCAACCCAAGGTTGGTGTTGAACGGGATATCGATTAAATGTCAAAGAGGAATTGACTAGATCGGTGAGGTCAACAAAAATCTGAGGTTTTCGGGTTGTTTTGCAGGTGCTGTGTATGGAGATCCTGTGTCGACATATCGTAATATTGGCATTGACATTATTCGGGTTCTCTGAACTTTCCAAAGAGTCCCTTTGTAGAAGTTCTTAGCTGGATAGTTTGTGCTAGTAATTTTTCCCCGGTGGTCACTCGCTATTCATGTATTTTCGCGTCTACTCCCTCCCTGATTTGCCCAGAGCCTAATCAACTACTGATTAGGGGGTCTGAGGACAGAGATTAGGACTGTTTAGTGTTGTATATTATAGTACTATTCAAATCTTCGAGTACAGCGTGTCTGCGCGAGATTCAAATTCTTTTTGCGGAAGACTTGAGGAGTGCAGGAAAGTTTGGGGAGAGTGGATCAAAACTGGTGGCCCGAGTTCATCCACTTGCCACGCGGGTTTGCGAGCATGCCCGCCCGTCTGTCCTCATCGGACAGCCCATGTTTACTCTCTGATATTCAAGCACATGACACGGCTGTGTTGTAAATCCTTCGTACAAGAATATGGTGCACTTTTGAAGACTTGCCGATCCGAGCTGGCCCGTCATTACAAGCTCACGCCAGCATCTGAATGCTCCGCAATCAGAGCTTTTGTTGCGATGATGCCATTTCGAAGTGTAATTCCAAAGATTCACATGTGCAGGTCTCACTACTGTGGTTATTCTGTTTCTATGACGTTATGGGCTTGATCAGTTTACACGTTGTTTTTTGATTGTCTGGATAACGCAATGTTTCTTGTCAAAATAATCCGTGCGGACATCAGCAAAGTTGCATGAAGTGGTCACATCCAGTTGGTTTCAAGATTCATTCTAGTGTGGTGCCGTCAGAAATGACTTTAAGACACGACTGGTACTAAGGCCTGGAAAGTTGCAAGGCAAGCTTTTGTTGTCGATCTTGTGATCATTGTCGCATCTATCTCAACAAATCATACGGGTAAACCGTTTTCACAGATCGTACGATGAACTAATGACGACTTGAAGTCAGCGAGTCAGCGAGAACTTTAACTCGAGTGCGTGTGGTGTGGTTTTCTAATCCCTATGTCACAGGGCATAAAGATCAGTATGAAGTATTTGCAGCACACGTTGAATTGTCGGAAATGATCGTGTAGCCTCCGTTACTCATTCCTCTGGTTAATTCCACGTTGGTTAAGTCTGAGAGGATGCAAGGAATCGAAGACAACGGACATGGCAACGAAGAGTGAAGCTCCCACCAAATTAGAGTTGTGTTGGCAGAATAGACACCTGTTCGACTTAGTGGTGTTCTCCAGATTACTCCAGCATAGATCAGAGAGGCGGTCAGAGGTCGCACTACATTTGTGAGCAAGTCAAACGGTCTTCTACAACACGCAGGAGAAACGGCAGGTCGGTCGGCTATCAGGGTAGCCATCATCGACGAAGAAGTGGCAGGGTTGGGTTGTACTGGAGAAGGCATAGAAAATGCGGGATAGGGCGAGGGTAGGTGTGCAGCCGAAGATATTGTTGGCCCGCGTGAGTGGGAGGAGGAAGAAGACGTGCCGTCCAGCTGACTCAACTATGACCCCCGTTCTCCTTTTCAGTGGGCAAAAGGTCAGAGTTAGACACGTATGCCTGAGAGTTGATGCCAAACAGAAACGTACAAAAGCTCAGTCAGGCTCAGTGCTTATTGGATTCTCCGTTCATCATTCACTTCCACTTGAGAATCGCGAGGGGAAATTGCGCTCCCGTTTCTTCTTTTATGGCGGTTACAAAGGCAGGCTCACACGTCACGACTCACGAGACACCCCCGCCTTCTCTTCCTCGACGCCCATCCGCCAATCTTAGTCAAAGAGCCCTCTGTCTAAATGCAGCTCATCCATTGATGACTGGATGGCCGAGGTTTTGAAAATATTAAATCTGCTCGTCTGACGTCCGTTCACTGTAGGCTATGAATGCGGGACGGAGGAAGGCCCACATTACTCGCCGGCCGTTAAGCAGTGGTGAAAACGAGGTCAGTCGCATTTCAGTCCACATCTGTTGCTGAGTTTTGCCATTCTCTCTTTCGCAGTGCCTTGCCTCTCTCTGATTATCGACCGCGCCGGTGGGCCCCCTGCGTGTTGACCCCTGCGCTCCGTCTCTCAAGACGGGGCAGACCTGTTTGGACATCGAACTTCGGGCTGCTTGTCTACGTGTTCACACTGTAGTGTGTTCTGTGGACCCATGAATTCCACACGCGCTGCTTGTCATAATTCTGCTCCCGTCGTACCTTCTTGCTCTTGTATCGAATGCTATCACTATTTTTCCAACTGGCGAACCGAATTCGATCGAATTCGATCTTCGCATTCCGAATACAAGAGTCAACATCAAATGCTACAGCACGACGACCTGCACAAACGCGGAGAACCCTAACTTAAAGAAGTATTTGGTCCAATTTATTAACGAGAGAATATACACAGGCCAAAAGCTATGAGATGTTACTCGATGAAAGGAAAAGTTGATGATAAGAATAACGCACCGGAGAGAATAGCTACGGAACGAGAATCTTTGAACCAATGCGCTTGAGTTCCGTCGGAGTATCCAATGCTCGTGCCGGGATTCATGTCTTTGAAGTGCCCGGCCATTGCTTGCAAAAAACAAACGAGCCTTAATTTGTTCGGAGTTTGATGTGCAAGCAAGCGAAGGAAGACTAGAAGGAGATTAAGATGCCCCAGTATCGTCAGTGTTCTTATTTGCCTCTATTAATGCGCGGACAAACCAAAGTGGGAGAACTTGGAGGCACGGTTGGACAAACAGCTTCTATTTCGAGAATGAGTAGCACTCACTCGTCCCTCGCGGTCCGATGGGTTGTACTGCGGTGGAGCGCAACTTTGAATTCAAACGTCAAGCATCTCGATCTTGGTGTGCCCTATATTTAAAATGCTGAATGATGATAAATAAGGTACCTACATTTATATATTGTATGCGGCTTCTGCTTCTTGTTGTAGACTAGGGTTATTCCCTAGCCATGTCGATCATCACTGGAGACAGCAGTGGAGGCTGATACCGCATAAAGTAGAATTCTGCAAACGTAAGGGAATTTTTTAAGAGCGTGCAAAACCTAGCACAGTTTCTAAGTCCAGAATGCTGAATCATGCTGATGAGCATGGGAAGCAATTCGGAAAAATCCCTTATTATGCTCCATTTTTTTTTTCGACTATGATATGTATTGTCTTTCGAGCTATTTTAGAACCATTTACAATCTATCTAACAGCATCTTACTTTTATTATGGAGAAGCGATGGTGAATAGTTGTATATCAATTTCTGTTTTAAAAATCGTCCACAATGTGTTCTTTAATAATGATGAAATGCATGATTGTAAACAACAAGTACTCAGACGACTTTTATTGAATGTGTTTGTTTTCTTTGAAACCCCGAAAACTATACCTTCCCACTTCAAACGTGGCTGCCATCGGATTAGATAATGGTGACCTGCCACTTACGTATTACAAATTTGCACATGGTTTCTTAGTAATATTATTGAATTTTAAATCTTTGGATAACTTCAAAATCTAGATATACGTCATGGATGAAACAAAGATAAAGTCATAGAAAGTAAGCATCATAAATTTGAAGCTTTTGTGTGAAAGAAAATTCATTTAAAGATCAATTTAGCCATTTCTAATGATAGCTAATGCTATTTCAGTAGTATAAACCCTATAGATCTTAAATATCATAAAACATTGAAAAAACATAGCATAATAAGATTAAAAAAACTTTACAGTTGAAATCATGATTATAATTTTAATTTTTTCAGAATTTGATCAAATATTATTAATTTTTTGGGGGTTTTTATTCTATTTTTATGTATGTATCAAAGCATGATGAAATATGATAAGAAAATAAAAAAAATGAAACTTTGTATATTTGATTATGCATTGAATTAAAAAATAATTTGATGCAAAATTTCAAGCAAAATTAGTCAAATTAATTATTATTAGTTGAACTAGTGTATGATAAATAAACATGTTAAACAATTAAACTATGTTTTATGTTGGTGTGAATTGACGTTTCTCAAATTAAGCTCAAGTTAACATCATTCAAGTTAAAGTTAATATTGGATTTACCTTCATTAGAAGTAGACCTAGAATTTCTGTTAGCAAATGCATATATATATATATATATATGAAAGGCAAGAAACTATTTGTAGTTTTTTTGTGTAGAGAACTTGTTGTTCGCGTGGATGTAGCTTGAGAATGATATATGATGTACCTTTCTTGTCGGTATTGTGTATGCGTGTATTTTTGACATTTCTATTTGTGAATAAGTGAATTTTTGTGTTTTTTGTAACAATTGGTATCAAAACAAGTTGTGAATCAAACAAACACATTAGAGAGCTTTTCACCATGGGTCGGCGGAGATATAATCTCTACCTTCTTCTCTTAGTTGAAAAGACAATCATATTGCTTATGAAAGCATTACCTTATCTTCAAGAAGATTTTGTGTTTGATTTACTTTTGCCATTGATGTTCAATAATTCCATCGTTGTGATCTTCAAACGTTTGGTTTACAATGTCTTGGTTGGTGTTCAATGATCCATTTTTGTGATCTTCAAACGTTTTGGTTTACAATGTCTTGGCCGGTGAAGATTATTATTCTAAAAATTCAAGAGTCCAAATAGATATGAGATTCAATGATTGCTAGATAGTTCTCGTCAAAATTGATAGCACAAGACAACTCTTAGTGGTAGGATGTGCGTTGTCGATCAATTCCATAAAAGTTGCGACTCCAAGATCCGTAGCGCCAATCAACAAGATATCATTCTGAGCTACCATCTTGAACGAGAAGATGTACCTAATCTATTGCACAAATGTTGCTGAGCAGCTACGTTTTTTACTTTAGAATTTTGCTGCTAGAGATCATCAAGGGTAAGACTCCGATGAAGAAGATGAACATGAACAAAACATCCATGTAGAAGCGGGCAGAATGTATCCATGCACACAAAGAAGATTCCACAAGATTGTGGACCTCATACAAGACCACTACACTAAGGATGAGCTCAACATCTTGATATATGTGACAGTCGGTTTTCGTCAAATTCCTTAACATCCTAATAATGATTGTCTTGTTTGGAATTTTGCTTCTAGAGCTCATAAAAAATAAGAAACTGTCGGAGAAGATGAGCATAAACAAAAAATCCATATAGAAGTGCACAGAGTTGATCCTTGCACACAAGTAAGATTCAACGAGATTGTGGATCCTCTACTCAATGCCACTACACTAAAAACAAGCTCAACATCTTGATGTATGTGGAAGTCGCAGTCGTCAGATTTATAAAATACGATCGTTTTGTTCAAAAGAAAAAAAATCTTTCCAGCCTAAAACTCTAAATGTCAAACCACCGAAGTTCTTTTTTTAATCTTGATAGAAAAATGAAAGAGCAGTTAGGATTTTGACTCTACCAGCAAAAAAATATATTTTGACAAGACAATTGAAATGACTAACAACGAGAATTTTTTTTGACATCACTATTCTTACAGCAAGATTTTTGTTGAGATAATCTCTTCCTGATCACTGTTCTGACGACAAGATTTTGACATGCCGTTAATATTTCAATGGCAAGCAAAACTAATGTGAAAAAATGGTCAAACACCTCACAGCAAAAGATTGGCCATCGTGGTTAAAAATTCATCGAACTATGAGTGAAAATTCCTAGACCG